ATTATATATAATTCTATTTAGTCACTGCCGAACGAATTTTGTAACTTTGTCTATGAAAATTGCAAATGCGCATAGCTTTTGTTAAATAGGGCTGAGAAATGCAGTCCATTTAGGCAGATGCTGTCAGCGATATTTAATGTCAACGCCACACGAATTCCTAATCACACAACAACAATAACAACAACGACAACAATAGCAGCAGCAGCAACAATTGCAACTGCAGCAGCAACAGCTCGCGCATATGAAGAATGAAGACACACACACACACATGTCGTCTGGCACTCGTCGTGAGTGTGTGTGTGTGTGTGTGTTTGTCTGTCTGCCTGCCTGTCTGTTTGTGTCAAGTGGCTGCATTTTACAAACCTATTCCACGCTTCAAGTTTTCGCATTTCACTCTGCGTGCACGCTCACTATTCACAGTGCCTCGTCTCACTTTTCACATTTTCTTCCATTTCTTTTTTCCTCACATTTTGCGCTTTTTATCCTAATGCCAGCTGAGAAATTAAATGCACACACAGAAGTGACACAGAAAATTTATTTAGCAGGCATTTCATTTGCGTCTCACTCCATTCGCCCCTCTCTCTCTCTCACTCTCTTTCTCTTTCTCTGGCCCCTGGTCTGTGGCTCAGCAAAAAAAAAAGACATTTTTATATGTATATAAAGCGAGACTGAGAGAGTGAGAGTGCCAGAGCTCTGCATGAAATTTAGACAGTGGAAAATTTCGTGGAGCAGGCCATGCGGAATTTGTGTAGCATACCTTTTGGGGCCAGCATGTGGAGCCACAATTGTTGGGCCAGGCTGGTTGCATGGCAGCCCAGCTGCTAAAATGCATATTAATTGGATTTTAAAGGTAACATTTGCTAATTGCCCAGCTACATTTAAAGCCATATATAGACATGTACCCCTCTTCTCTACCTACATACATATGTATATCTGTATGTATGCATTTATGAGCTCTTGGCATTCGGGGCACATATCCATTTGTTTGATTTACTGGCGTTTCATTAAAATGCTTTCTCACGTAATATAATTCAATTGCAATCAGGCATAATGATCAGCATTAGATCAAATCGGCATTGTTTCATGCACTCTCAATGTCTCTAGCTCTGGCCACAGACGGGCACACGGCATGAAATATTTACATAAAATTAATCTTAATTTGTTCGAGGCCAAGGCCTGGGCGCTGTAACTGTTTACGAGCCCGAAAACTCGCAGACAGAACAATGGCAAAGGCAACAAACAGCAAAAGCAACCCTTAACATTAGATTAAACAAGCCCATAGACAGCACACACACATGCACACCCTTTGCTACTCACACTCAATGTGTGTGTGTGTGCACATAATTTATAAATCACCACAAAAGTAATTGTAATTGTTGAATTATTTAAGCGACTGGCAATAAACCACAAAATTTGCCACAGGCCGTGAAAAGCAAAAGAAGAAGAAGAAG